GTATGACCCGCGGTCAACTGAAGCACTGGGCTCTATCTCTTGCCTATGGCCTCAAGAACCATCCTACGACAGCTCGTCATGCAAACGGGGAGACACTGTGTTGATCTACTCCCATAACTCACTTGCTTGGCCAATTGTCGTCTTTGGTTCAGGTAAGCACCCCTCACAGAAGGGCCAATCTTTCATTTTAGGACCACTGACAACTTCTTAATTTCCCGCTTACTTCCTTTAGTTGCCGCCGGCTTGCGCTGCACGCTCGCCAACAACGCCTACAACGCGCGCGAACTCGCGTTCCAATACACGGATAGCGGCGCTAAATTGATCTTTGCAAACGAAGAGGAGTGGCGACTGTGCGTCAAACACTCAAGGATCTTGGTTTAGCAAAGAGGAGGCAGACAAGCGTATCATTGTGATACCAGACTCGTTGGCATGGGTCGGAGGACCCGATGTTCCACGCAAGCCAGAGCTTGCTGGATTATTGTCTGCTCCGGAACTCCTTAAGCTGGGACTTGAAGGAGGAAGAAAATTCGAAGGGCCCAACATGTCCAGGGAGACGGTATACTTGTGCTATAGCTCAGGTGCGTGCAACTTTACTCTTAGTGATTGTTGCTATTGAAGTTCTAAATCGAATTCAAGGTACAACGGGGAAACCCAAGGGCGTCGAAGTAAATTTTGGTCGTATTTTCAATGAACCACACAAACTAATTTTGCTCCAAGACTACCCATAGGAATATAACTTCTGTAATGAATATGGTGACAGCCGGAATCCAAATCGACACCAATCATGATACGATGCTTGGATTCTTACCTTTCTACCATATCTATGGCGAGTTCCTTGTAGTGTTGCTTTTAGAAGTCTTTCGACTAATAAAATCCTACAGGTGCTGCCAAACTGCTCCATTGGCCTTTCACACTCGGTGTCCCAGTGGCTATCATGTCGCGGTTCGACCCAGATAACTTCTGCGCGTATGTGGAAAATACAAAGTGACGATCGCCCTCGTCGTGCCTCCAGTGCTCGTCGTTCTCACTCGCCACCCAGGTATGTTCGGTAACTTGTTCTTCAACGCATAGTGATATGTGTTAACATCTGCCATCCAGCTGTCGACAAACACGATCTAGCTTCCCTTGATACTCTGATCTCGGGTGCAGCGCCTCTGGGTGCGGAACTTTCAAACGCAGTGATTAACAGGCTGCAACTTAAACGCGGACGCAAGGGTCCTGTCAAGATCTTGCAAGGTATGCTCAACCATACTTGTATGGGGCCTTTGGAAAATGGTAACTAAAACGCGTATATATAGGATATGGCCTCACCGAGACTTCTCCAACGACGCATCTGGTGCCCCCGGCCAATGCTGCCGACAAAATTGGCAGCATTGGAGTTCAACTGCCTCATCTTGAGATCCGCTTGGTGGTCGATGGCGATGGCGACGGTCTCATTGATGCGGCCGAGGGTGAGCCCGGAGAGCTGTGGATCAGAGGACCTTCCATCATGAAGGTATTTATCCGAGTTTTCTAACGGAGAAAGGACAAGAGCTCAACACCAGGCAAACAGGGCTACTTGAACAACCCAACAGCCACGAAAGACTCTATCACCCCCGATGGATGGTTCAAGACAGGTGATATTGGAACAAGGAGTGCTGACGGCTTCTACCATATCGTCGATCGCCGCAAAGAACTCATCAAGTACAAGGGCTTCCAGGGTACGTTCTCTTCGGACAAAGAAGATGATTGACCTGATTCCCGCTTCAGTGCCACCTGCCGAGCTTGAAGGCGTACTTTTAACCCATCCCGATATCGCAGACGCCGCTGTCATTGGCGTCGAAAGTGCGAAAGAGGCCACTGAATTGCCAGGTATCTAACATTTTTATATCTTCGTCCGAACAACTTTTAACCGCTGATGATGCCCAGAGCTTACATCGTTCATGCCAATCCTGGATCATTGAAATCTGAAGCCGACAAGATCAGTTTGCTGTAAGCATCCAGAAGTGGGTCCAGTCAAAGGTTGCGCGACACAAGTTTTTAAGAGGAGGTTTGTTGACCCTTCAGTCAATTATAAATAGTGCCATGGCTCATTTCTCTCTCGTATTTTCTTGTAGGTGTTGTGGTCATTGATATCATTCCTAAGAGGTTGGTCGATACTATCTCCACTGTTAATCTACTTAACTGAAATTGTCCCGATAGTGCTGCTGGTAAAATCCTGCGCAGAGAACTTCGCGAAAGGGCCAAAGGAGAGCTCGCTGGCCGGGACCCTTCGGATGACATTATCAAGATAAAACTATGATCATCTATAGACCATCCTCATATACCTCTAAATTTACTGCTGCATAACTATAGGATCTATTAGGTTATACCTCATTTTCGAGCACATAGAAATTTTTAAGACCACATTGCTTGTATGTAACAATGCATTCTATTCAGACGAATATCCTGTCATCTACCAATTATATATTGACTGGTAATAATGTTCCAAGAGGCGTGAAGTACAAGGTGTCGGCTTTACCTTTGAGACTCGTCACTCGATGAGGAGCTCTCCGGAATTATGCAGATAATATAAAGATATAAACCGACCAGTGGGGGATATCTGTGGAGATATGTGTAGACCGAGCGCCGGACCAGCTTCAATGATATGCGGATGCACGGTCTAAATCAGTGCAGGGATAGTCACATGTATATCTGCGAATCTGGGTCAGCATTTTATTGGACTTAGGTATGACAGGGATAGGTATATGTTAGAAACACTGGTTCCGAACCTAGAGAACAGGACTAGTCAGTCATAATGTTGGCATAAAAGAAAGAAAACAAGATGACGGTAGAAAGATCAGGGGTGTCAAATTCTGGAGCCCGCCCTCAACAACACTGTGGTACATTGAGGTATACACCATGAAGAAATTCAAAAAGAGCCAACGCATCATGCAAAAGTAGGGGAGTGCAAAGCATAGCAAGAAAAATTGCTGCTCACCTGAACCAATGTATTTGCAACCAAGAACGCAGAAAGGAACGACGAAGTTCCGAGGAGGAAAAAATAGGGTGCTGGCCGAGAGTGAGCCCCATTGAGTTGAGGGTTTCCTAGAAGGAACCAACAATCGCATAACTGTGTCTATGAGCAACGAAGGGCCTCCCTTAAGACTCTGGCCCCGAGCGATAGGCATGCTCATATCTTCGCACACCCACGCCTTAGTCGAGGGCAGAGCCGTCAGAGAAAAGCCACAGAGTGGATGAGACGGAGCTCGGGGGGAATGAAGTCACCCCGAGCAGATCATTCTCTCCATCCTCGACCGATACCGTCGTGCTTAAAGCCGGTCGCTTTCCATGAACTGGTCGAGGACATCCTCTGTATCTCCGGGGACTTTCCCCACAGCTGAAGGTGAAAAGTGGGTAACTTTCCGGTGCGTGAGCTGCGACAGCGATTCTTCGGACAGCACAGGTGTAAAGAAAAGGATTGGTCAACGGTGAATTTTTTAATGGGACACAATTGAAGCGGCGCTTAAATTTGGCGTGGCAATTACGTACGCACGGAAGGCGGTCATTCGGCCAAGGGCTGTTCGATCACCTGGAGTGACTCCCTCAATCTTTCTCTGCAACGTCGATGTCGTCCAACGAACAGGCATCTACCTCGTCTTCGCCACAGCAACAGCAGCAACCACGAATCCACAAACCACCCTTTGCTGACTGGCCCACCATAAAGATTTTGACCCCACCGCAAGGTATGCTCTAATTGTCTGTCCTAAGCGAATTTGATAGACGCCTTCCCCGCTCTAGGTCCTTTCCTGCCCAAAGTCGACGAATGGTGCTTCACATACTGCTCACAGACCGTCAGCGGTCGCATTAATCGCCGAGAACCCAACTGTCATACTCTCTGCATACGCAAAGTCTTCCCTCACGAAGTGCGGAATATTCTTGCGTTCAAGCGGCACCACAGCGTGGGCCCCGACGGAAAGGCAACTTATCCTCTTCCAGCTGAGGGTCAACCAACTAACATCCCCCGGATACTCGGCGGACAACCAAAAGATGATTCCGAAGATGCTCCCAAACCATCTTCACCACCGACGAAGTATTGGGATGAAGGCTGGTATCTATGGTCGGGCCAAGGACGATGGTCTTTCCTCCAGAAGACGGAGAAGATGATGCTTGATCTGCAGAGCCAACAACAAGTAGATGCGGTTCGCGAGAGTAGAAAGGAACTATGGCACGATTACCAGGAGAAACTAAAGCAGAATCCAGGTCAACAAACCAAGTCACCACCATTAGCCACTCAATGGTGGGCACCAATTGTGCCACCCAAATCCATTTCCGACGCAACGTATGTCACCTAGTTCACACTGTTTGCACCAATATTGCTAACACTTTCTCTTCTAGTTCATCGTCCCTGCTGATTCCTATTCCACCTGACATTCCTGCTGTATGGGATACAGGGAGAATCCGGAAACTTCTCGCTCCGTCACAGCAAGTACTCGAAATTCTCCATGAAAGTATAACATCGGGCGAGCAGAAAGAATTCGCTCTGCGCATATGGGAAAAGGCTAGATCGGAAGAACCCTGGATACTTGCCCAGCGTAGTCTTTCTCGTGCCTACGAGCGATGGAAAAAGCCCGATATCGCTGAAGAAGATGACGGAAAGACAGGCTCGGCATAGATTTCGACACAGATACCACTACCACATTCTCGAGGATTCCTTGAAGAGTCCACACTCATTGCATTAACTTCCAACATCACGCTAGGCACTGTACATTTTGCTTTACTTACAACACATATAAATTTGGTTATTTCAGGCTGTAGCATGCATGAATAAAATTGTAGATCATCCAATAGATGCAGTACCAATTCGGACAAAAGAACTTCATTAGGGGTAACGTCTCGAAGTTATTCCAAGTCTGTTGTCAATCATCAATGCAACTTGTGCAAGTTAGGATAACGATGATTTAACTATTAGCATCATTTCAACAAAAAAAAAACAGAAAAAAAGATGAAGAAAAAAGTTCAGGATGATTTAATGCATTGATTGACAACGGCGAGGTTCGAACTCGCGCCCTTTCGGACTGGATAGAAAGCTACTCAGATGAGCATTGCCTAATTCCAGCGCCTTAGACCACTCGGCCACGTTGCCATGAATATCAAGGGTATAGTAGAAGTAATAATGCTGTACCTAAACCATTCTCTTTAGCTGGACATTTCTTTTGTGTCAATGCGAGTCATGATCACTCGTATCATACTCAGTTCCCATCTCTACGCTAATGCGTTAGCAATCCTTTCTATCATATCCTCCCATCCAATATTCGTCAGTCATGGGCGTCCATGGCCTGACCACATATCTACGCGAGAAGAAGCGTCTCCTATCCACCACCACCGTCCTTTCCTCCTCGTCTAAGAATACGGTCCCCATCGTTGTAGATGGTTGGTCGTGAGTCTGCCTGGAATTTATTTCCTCTGATGTTATATGACTTAATCAGATGAAGCTTTATCTATGATCTCTACCAGAGCTCCAATCTTCCCTGGGTTTACGGCGGTGAATACATTGAATTCGTTCGTCTCGTAAAAAATGTCGCCCAATCATGGATCAGGGTTGGACTTAAAGTCTACTTTGTGTTCGACGGTTTGTGAAATATTTAGTCCGCGCATCGAAGCTTTCCTGATATGCAGAGAAAACAGGTGCATGTCCAGATCTAAAATTTCCGACTGTCATCTCCCGTCTGGCTCAATCCCATGTACAACCTGCGCAGCTTTTCTTCCGGACCTCATCCTCTACGAGATCATCAGGGCGGTTTCTCAATGAAACCCGGATCCTTCCGCCTCTTGCATACTCTGCTTGCATTTACGCTCTCGAATCGCTGCGATCCACAGTAGAGGGCTTAGAGCTCCATTTTGCCGATGAAGAAGGCGATCCTTATGCCGTGGAATTGGCAGGTCGTCTTGGAGGCTATGTCGTCGGGAATGATTCTGACTTTGTCATCTTCAATTCGGAAGGGTACCGTGGCTATATCCCTCTCGATGAAATGGTATGGCAGACACCTGTAACAGAAGAACCGGAACCCATTAACGTGGAGGACGACGATTTTCAGCCCGTTAAAAACGCGAAAGCAAAGCGAAAACCTGTCCACAATGCTCAAAACCTTGGAGGCCTTTTACCTCCAGAAAACACAGAAGAACTGACTCTGTCGTTCATTTCGTATAGCCCGGGGACGTTGGCCCAACAACTAAAGATTCCCGTCAGTCTTCTTCCCCTATTCGGAGCTCTTGTCGGAAACGATTTCTCGAAAGAATCCGAATCAAATTCTCGCAAGATTCAAGCCCTATTCTTCGAACGAAGTCTATCTCTCAGTCAGCGGATAGATAAAGTAGCGGCTACGATGCACACTGTAATATCACCCGGGTCTTCCCATCGAAAAGCCAAACATCAAGTTGGCAGCGTCATGGATCTCATCGACCGCACAGTCAGCGCACTCTTGGCGAGATTAACAACATCTATGGGCTCAGGCGAAGTCGAACAGATAGTTGAAAAAATCGTCAATGCAACTTTGCAGTACGCCATTCCCAAGTATGGCGGCGACATCGCAGGTCACGAAGGTCTTTGGAGCTCAAGTGTTTGCGCACTACACGATGCCGAGGCCTGTTCAATCCTTCCCATGATTTCCTACAATGTCATGCGACAAGCTGAAAAGTCCGATCAAGCTGACCCCAACTTGCTTGAGGCCAGAGAAAAATATCTGGATGCCTATCGCGGCGGTCTGTTCTCTCCTAAAACCATGGACATCCTTAACACAGGCTCTTCATGGGCTCGAATATTTCTTGAGAACCCCGACCTGGAAACTGTAGGCCGCAGTATAGGAAGGCCGATCCGGGAGTGGATCTACTCTATCCTAGACGACACAGTCGGGCTACCAATTCAGAGGTTGAAGCCGAAAACATTACCACAGATGGAAACGAGTCAACGGATATACCAAATGACGGCGAAAGTGCTAGCGACGATGAGATGAACTGATTGACGTCGTCGAATCCGATGACGAGGATATTCCTATGCCTTCCGACTTTCTCGCACCGCTAAAAGGTGAACTGCATCGGCTGCATCTTCATCTGAAGATACATCGATATGATGATGACGAAGCGACCGAGCCTCCGGCCTCCATTATTCCCATCGTAGCCTCGTTCGAAGCCCGCCTGCCATCGTTGACTATTGTCGGCGGGGTACGAGAATAGCTTCAGAAGCGATCCCCGTCAACCCATTTCTGAACTGTTGTTTCGATATCTCTTTCTGAGTACGCCGATGAAAATGCGCCCCCTTGGTATTGAGGTCTGAAGAAGACCGTTTCACGATTTTGCTCCGAATACTCCATTCTGATATTCCTGAAATCCGACACTTAAGCCCTGAAAAGACGCTAGCGGTGCTCGCCGTACGTTGGGTGATCCATGCCATACATGCTCGATGGGAAGAGACGGGTAGCAAGGAGCGCGAAAAGGAACGCTGGAGTAAAAGCGAGGCGCAGGCTTTCCTTTCGTCTTTCACATGGGCGTTTAGCGATGACATCGCTGTTGCCGATCACCTAAACCTCCTCAAAGCGAGCCCGCCACCACCTATCGACGATCGGAACATCCAGCTCACAGCGCAAGTACTGATGGCGCTGGACACCATCGAACAGCTTGCACAGACGCTGCTCCTCACCGACCGTGTGCCGGGAAATGCGCACCAGTTCTCCGGGAGGGCGTTCCATGCACTGTTGACGGGATCAGTGGCGTCTTTTACACCTGCACTTCCTGGAAATATTTGGGGAATCACGGAAGTGGGACTTAGCCATGCGTTCCAGCAGGAAAAGGCGAAGAAGGCTAAGAAAGCTAAGACGGAAAAACCCGCCTCTACAACGCCTGCGAACAAAGGCAGGGTGAATGGGTCTAGGACGGGTCTATTCGCGTTGTTGGGAGATATGGATGCATAGCATTGTGTTATGTTCAATATAAGAGAAATGTAGTAGTATGTATTTTGGCCTGTACATTCTAATTTATTATACTCTTGAATAGCCTGACTCGAATTCAAGCGCTCAACGTTGATATTTTGATTACCTATCAACCCTCCAGTACACTTTTTTTTTGATCTGTGGCACAGCAGGGTGCACACCATAAGAACAGAAACAACATCCCAGAGGTATATAAAGCTTAAGAACACCGCCCACAAGTCGACATCAGAAGAGTAATTAAAATTCGGTGCAATGCATAGTATATGGTTTGTGTCAAATCGGGATCAATGTGCAGAGTCCACCATAATCCGGTTTCCTAGTTCCTACTCATTCGGCCTGTCTTCCAAAATTCCGAAAGACAAAAACTATTTAAAATTTGTCTCTCAGACTCACTGTGAATACTCTACCCCACATATTATGGCGCTGACGTGTCAGTGGAAAATTCATAGATTCCAGATGGAATATAAGTTCTGGAATGGTGCATACTGGCCGGAACAACCTGGCCAGTGACCACCATAGAATTTTGAGGGTATTCGTAAGTATAACCTTGGACACAAAATGAGTCGCTGCGGCCATTATTTAATAGGGTTGCGGCGCGAACTATTACTGCCCTGGGGGGTAGTCTAAGTTGCTTTCTGGCCGTAAGTGGGATGGCATGGAACTGAATTAACACATCGCCTCAATGCACTTCCGTAATATTGTGCCCACTGCCTACCTACAGCATTTCAACCGCCTCCCAACGAGTCAAAGCGAATGGTGTGAGTGGGTGTCCGCTTGCAACGCGGCGTCAGCGTCAGAACTTCCAACTTAAGCGTGAACCACCGCCCTGGAACTTCGATTAAAATAACTATTGACTTGGAATGCATCGCCAGCTGACAAGTATTAAGAAACAAGCATGTTGGAGGCTTCTCATTTGCAAAAACGAGGATGAGGGGCTCTCTATACATGTGGTGGCAGTGAAAGGGCTGTGCATGTATGGGTATGGTCCTTCTATAAAAGGCACGTTGGATTCAGTCCATTTCGGTATCTCACTGGCAATAGCACCCTCTCTCTCAAGTAACTCATCAGCATCCCTTATAGCTTTCGGTCAAGAAAAATGCCCCCTCATCACCAAACCAACTCGCAGAGTATTTACTCCAACAAACTCGTTCTAGGGATGTCGGCCTACAGGCAGACAACCTCAGCACCCAACGAAATTGTCACATTTAATTTTGACGATTCACCCGTCTTCATAAAACGACCAGAGACATATCAGGTACGTCCTTAGCTTAGCTTTATAATTATTCAGGAACATCTTGACTAATTCGTACGTGTGCCACTGTCCAGGAAGCAATCGACACTGCCAAGAAAGAATTTCCTCAACTCGCCCACCTCCCGAGCGCACGCGTCGGCTTTGCGTTGAACGACATCGTGCATGGCGGCCGCCACGTACGGGTGTCTGAAGGCGCCTGGCTTTCTATCACTGAAAAGATCCCGGGCGGCACTATCATAAACGTTCTGGTGCTGCCTGATCTGGACACGAAGGCTCCTCCCCCGAGATATCTTGACGTACCTGTACCTAGGGGAAATGGTTCAAAAGATACTCTCTCTAGTGACTTGAATTTGAAGAAGTCCTCTTCATCGTCATATTTGTCTATCCGCCATCCAAACAGAGTACCGGACTGCTCTCTTGGATAGGCACAGGAAAATAAACTCCTTATTATAATATCTACACTAAGTACAAGCACTATGATTATTACAATCAACACCTTTAGTACTTAGAATATGCATGCTCTTGTTGCTTCTGAAGCCTTCTTGATCAATTTCTACATAGTTGTATCCATCTTCATAAACACTGTACTTATTTATTCCTATGCCTCTTGGATTGTCCGCTTGTGTAACGTGCAGATGCATATTCCATTATTTTCATTGTATTATTAGGCTACCTATATACAGTTGTAATCGGCCTATAGTGTCGTGTAATTCAATCTGAGATTCCATCACAGGAGGAATCTGCATGTAGCTCAAAGTCCCAGAGCAGAACGCCGATTTCTGAGGAAATGGCGCGACTGACGCAGTCTGGGAAAAAGCGGAGGAACGCATAGGATTTCGCCCAAGGAGACGAAAAAATGGTTTGCGGTCATTGAGTTTTGATTTGCGCTTGGATCAGGTTCGTGAATGA